GGTTTCAGGCAGTCGCCGAGGGTTTCAAAAACTTGCCCTCGTTTCACGCACTAGAATTTGTCGGGAATAAAACACTTGTACTAGCCGTTTTTCTCACTATTCGCACAATTTTGATTGAACTGCACTAAAATTGAACCTTTCACTGAAATCGTTTCGGTACAAAATTCGCGAAATAAGTCAAACCGGCATAGTAAAAAGTGAGATAGTTGGGACCCGCAAACACTACGTGCGTCCTCGATCACTGCCAGAACTCAACTCCGAAATCTGCGAAACGTCCGTACACCATTAACTAACTTCAATAATATGATGTTCTTAAAGGTAGACTGCATTCTATGTTGTATTAAGTGTAGACTTCATGCCTATCATTGTGCTGAAGTCTACTGCCAATCTTGCATCTCGCTACAATCCCTCTCTTCACATGAAGTCTCAGTCGCGTCAGCACGCTTCAGAACCTGTATTACTTGTAGTTATGGGCCCAGATGCTATAATTTGCACAGTGACAACGTGTGCAGAAGCTTGTATATCTTCAATTTTGAACTGTTCTCGACAATGAAAACGTACGTCTATTGACATGAATCACATGATTGCAAGTAAAGCTAGACTCACGGTGATGCCTCTTAAAGGTGAAAATTATGCCAGTTTGAAAATTCAGGTGAAATGACTATCGTAAACGAGAATTGTGGCGCCTGGTGGACGGTTTTGTGTCTCCTCCTGAAGTAGTGAGCCTGATAAACTTGCTAAATTTAATGCTGGGAGAGACAAAGCTATAGTTTTAATTGTGCTTTCCGCGGATCCTTCCGTACTGTATTTTTTAGGTGATCCAGTTGAACCTGTAATTGTGTGGAAAAATCAGCAGATCAATTTCAGAAAAAACTTTGGGCCAATATATTGCAGTTAGGACGTAAACTTTATTCAAAGAAGTTGAATGATATAGATTCAGTTCAATAACATGTGAAATGCATGACCGAAATCTTCAATGAACTGGCAGTTATTGGAGATCCAGTCTCTGAGAATGATCGTGTGCTACATTTGTTGGCAAGCTTGCCCCCATCGTATGACCTGTTGGTTACAGATTTGAAAACCAATGTTGAGGTTCCGCCAATGGAACTTGTCACCGAACGTCTGCTCTACGAAGAATTTAAACGAAATTCTACTGCTAATACTGGTAAGTCATTGATCAATTCAAGATAATCTGCTTTAGTGACAACGGAAGAGAACAAATCTGCTAACAAGCGTCTCCAGTGCGAAAAACAGGGATACGTCAGTAAGAATTGCTGGCCCCTACCCCCTTGAACTAAAGTGAACATGAGTTCAAGAAAAAACCCGTGGCAACGCATAATGCGGGTATTACAGCTTTTAACGAGTTTTGGCTGATGCGAATAACAAAGAGTAGACTGTTGACTCTGGTGCGTGTCACATGTGCAATGGTGCCAAACACTTCAAGAATTTGAAAGCTTCAAATCTGTAAAAACTAATAAAGTGTAGTTAGGTGACGGTCACACTGCTGATGTTATTGCGCCACGTGACGTTGAGATTAAAGTGACATTGTCTCGTGGAAACTGAATTCAAACCTGTACATTAGGTGAAGTACTGTTAGTTCCTGACTATCCTTACAATTTATGCAGTGTATCGAGTGTTGCCAAGTTAGGCGAAACTATTAAATTTAGAGACGCTACTTGCAGTATTTTTGACTAGTCGGGCAAGATCATTTATCGTGCTAAAAGATGCGAAGATTTCTATCATAAACGCGTGAGGCAGGTCATATGGTTAGTTGTGTGAATAAAACGAAAGTGGATTTTAATGGAAACTGGAAAGTGAATTTTTTAATGCACAGAAGTCTTGGTCATCCGTGAGCTCAAAATTTGGAAAATAAATGCAATGAAAACTTGGCTCATGACTTGAGTCAAGTTGTTGAAAATAAATTATATTTTTTGTCCCGATTGAGTCTTAGGAAAACACGAGAAAACCAAGTTTCCTGCAAAGAAAGACAATGACGTCTGATGAGAGATCAATAGTAAAGCTTTGAGTGGAGAGTACTTCCTGACATTCATTGACGACGCCAGTCCGATACACTTGGACGCAAATCTTGAAGACGAAAGATGAAGTGTTCGACTAATTATTCAAAACTTGGAAAGCTGAAACGGAAAAAAACTTTTGGGCTAAAAAGAGAAAATACTTCTTAGTGACAATCTAGGGGAATTCACCTAGAACAAATGAAAGAAGTATCTTGTATTTTGAAGGAAAACGGCGTCCAACATCAAACCAACATATCCAAAACTACAAAATAGGGTTGCTGAGCGAAAGAATCGTTCATTGATGGAATCTACACGAGCTATGCTTTCCAAAGCAAAACTTCCACAGCAGTTCTGGGCATAGGCAGTAACTGCAACTTGCCTTCAAAACTCGTCCTGTACTCGAGCTCTTTGGCGCGCAACCGTGCACCACCAATTTTGTGCACCAATAAGCCCTGAATCGAACGCCTTGGATCTCTCCGGAGCGCAGCCGTGCACCACCAATTTTGTGCACCAATAAGCCCTGAATCGAACGCCTTGGATCTCTCCGGACATCCACCAGTCAGCCGTGAACCACTCGGCTTTGTCCTCCTCCGGCCTAGCATAAAACCTTCCGTGCACCACCAGACCGCGGATCGAATACGACTTTCAGGCATAGTTGAATTACGTAATTTTACGTTCACCGCATCTGAGGTTAGGTTTCAGATAGCATAGTTCTGTTCCAAAATTTATCTTCCTTCGACCGAGGGCTGGTTCAACGCACGGCCTAGATATGATTGTCCAGAAGTGTTAAAGGCTACCTACGTTCGGGAAGGCGGGAATCATTATGGTACATTACATCCGGGACGGTGGTGGTCTTCGGCAGGCGACCCGAGCTTTTGATGCTAAGACCCCGTTAGAGGCGTTCTTAGGTGAGAAACCTAGTGTTGAACGCCTCTACGTGGCTTGTTGTTAAACATTTTCTCATCAGAAGTTAGATCCCAAGTCTCAACTTGCTATTCTCCGGGCATATGTTGAAACCACAAAAGGCTATAGACGGTACGATATTCAACATAACCTGGTGTTCTACAGCCGGAATGCCATTTTAAATGAATCTGAATTACCAAAGGAATCTGCAACTGAAGCATGCAGTGTCGCCATGAACCCCATACCTTTGCACCCAGAAAGCAGAGACCTATTTAGTCCTAGTAACTAGGAAGCCGCAACTCTCGAGCTTGGTGCATGAGATGGAGGGAAATGATAGAAGATACACTTTCAGAAGGAGGGCCAATCCTACGTAGATCAACTGGAGATGGAAAATTTCCAAACCGTTACGGAGATAATATCTACCTTGCTGTGGTATAGATGACGACCCTGAGAAATGGAAACGAGCAAAGGATGTAGAAATGAACAGCACGAAGAAAAACTATGTTTAGAATCTCGTCAAATGACCCGATGGTATGAGAGCCATTAATACGCGTTGGGGTATTCAAGAAAAAGACCAGCTACTGGTAAGGTGATACAATATAAAAAGCGGCTCGTCGCACAGGGTTTCTCCCTGAAATTCAGTGAAGATTACAATGATACGGTACTTTTACACCTGTAGTTCGCTTTGAAACAATTCGTGTATTAGCATTTCTAGCTGTAGAAAATGACCCAATTCTACATCACATGGATATAACTACTCTTACTTGAAGGTAGAACTAGAAGAAGAAATTTATCTGAAGCAGACAGTAGGGTACGCTCTAAAAGGATAAGCATACACGATCTGCAAATTGAACCGAAGTTTATTAGGATTGAAACAAAATCCCAGATGTTGGAACCATTCTTTGAATAAATTTTTAACTCAACTTGGATTTACACAATCGTCTAGCGACCCGTGCCAGGACACCTCTTCATAAGGAGAGAAATTAAGTATCGCTGTCTACTTCGACGACATCGCGATTGCTGGAAGATCCATTACTGATATTACAAAGGTGAAGCAGCTGATAGCGAAGCGCTATGACTTAAAAGACTTAGGAGGGTTGAAATATTTATTGAGAGTTGAAGTTCGTCACGACACGACAGCAGGTGAAATTTGGCTGGGCCAACCTGCTCAAGTGCTTATACCGAGCAGGTGTTGGAGAAAATTTTCAAGGGAAATTGTAAATTGATTGAAAATCTTTCAACCACAAGTGCTAAGTTGACGAAGTCGACAGAAACAAACTCTTCAATACAGATTTGTACAGATCAGTTTGCTTGCTGATCTTTCAGTTTGCTGATCATTTTGCTGTATCTTTCTACGAAAACAAGGCCAGATGTCATGAACGCGCAGTCAAACGTAGCTAAATTTTGTGATGCTTCCAACGCATTGGAAAGCTGTCAAGCACATTCTTAGATATCTGCGCGAGACAATCCAATATGGTTTGCTCTAAAACAAAGAAGGTTCCGGTACCCTTGCTGGTTTCTCAGACGCCAGCTGCGCTGGAGACGTTGCAGATCGAAAATCAACGTCAGGTTTTAACTCTCAACTGAGCGGCGCTGCCATGAGCTGGCGAAGCAAGAAGCAAATGTGCGTCGCCTTGTCCACAACTCAGGCCAAATTCAAACTGCTCTTTCGCACGCCACGCAAGAGGCCGTGTGTCTCATACAGCTACTTAGTGACTTGGGTCACTAGAGTGGCGCTCCAACCATCATAAATGAAGACGATTCCTCTGCCATAGCTTCAGGCAAGAGTGTTGCCATTCATGGTAGCAGTAAGCATATTGATGTTAAATATTACTATTAAAAGATCAGGTCAGTAAACAAACTGTTGCTGTTAGGTATTGTCTAACTGAGTTAATGGTAGCTGATATGTTAACTAAAGCTATTAGCAACGAGAAATCCTGCCAACTTCGTGAACAGGTCGGAGTTATTACACAATAGCCGTGTTAATAATTGTTCAAACTTGCCGTTCAAATAGTTAAGTATTGTTAATTTACATGTTATTTAATTACGTTCAAGAAGGATTGTAGAAATATTCAACTAACTAGCTTCAATAATCCGGCGTTCTTAAATGTAGACTGCATCTTACATTGTAGCGTAAACTTTTATGCCGATATTTCTACTGAACTCTACTGCCAATCTTGCATCTTGTTGCAATCCCTCCCTTCACATGAAGTCTCCGTCGCACCACTGCACGCTTCAGAATCTGCATTACTTTTATTCTTCTATACTTCAATCAGGCCGCCCCGCAAAGGTCGATAACATAGACTTGAAAGTTCCATAATCTTTCATCTTTCTTCATAAGACTTGCCTTACAATCTCGGATTTATTATCCTTTTTGCACGTCTTTGAACAATATGACCTAATTTTTATCCTTGTCAAGTTTTGATGACTATGCGGTTTTTTCAAACTCTTAAGTTCGGACGCACAACAGCGACGAACGACAGCTTTATCGCTTCTGCATCTAGGTACTCGTTAGAGCGCCTAATTCAAGCCGTTTATTGGTTTTATTAATTTAAGCTTCAATTTGCGCATAAATTTCGACTCTTTGCCGATATAAACTCCTAATTTTTTCCATTGCCGACTTCGCAATCATCACTCTCTAGATGAAACCATGTCATCTCGTACTGTAATCTTACTGTCATTGTTCTTACAAAGGTGAATTACTTTAAACTTTTCAGCATTAAAACGCAGCTGCCACATATCAGCCTAGTCAACTAACCTGTCCAGATCATCTTGCAATTGTACATATTTCGACGTATCCTTCACTGTATTATCTATAAACTTTTGTGTCATCGGCATACATCGAGCACAAGCTTGACACTACTTCTGACATCGTTTATAAACGCAACGAATAAAACAGGCCCGAGAACGCTTCCTGGTGGCACGCCGCTACTCACTGATGCCCATTCTGATATGGTCTTAAAAGTACTGATACTTTGTCGTCTACTTACTAGAAAATCTCTGATACATTGGAGTACCTTTCTCTCTATTCCGATAGACTTCACTTTACGCAACAGCCACTCATGGGGAACACTGTTAAATGCTTGGGCAAAATCGAGGTACACTGCAATCATTGGCTCCTTTTCGTCCAGCAGGCGAGTCCTATAATCATTCACAATAGACAATAGGTCAGAGGTGCAGGATCTACCGGCAATAAAGCCATGTTGACAGTCTGATACGAGATTATTAACAAACTTCGATCGATCGATCGATCGATCCCTCACAACAGATTCCGTTACCTTGCAAACGACACTTGTCAAACTGACCGGGCGATCGTTGCCCGTGCAGCTCATGCCACCTTTTTTGAACAATGGTGTCTCTTGGGCTACTTCCCAGTCGGCTCGCAAGCTTCCTTCGTACGAGGTATTTCGATAAATAGTCAAAGGGCTGGCTATGATGGTCGCTAACTCTTTGAGTAATCTGGAGTGGAAGCCCTCAGGTCCAAATGACTTGAGATTTAGAGCTACTAGGCGCTTGAGAACTTCTTGTATTTCAAAACTTATTAATTTAATATTTAAAAATGTTTTTTTTATATGTTTAAAGCAACAGCATCGTGCATCAGCTGGCCCAAATGAGGGCGGATGATCGATAATCAGAGGCGGCGATCCATCGTGGCCTGGGACTGCTATATGTCCGAAACAAAAATCAAGGATACCAAGGAATTTCGAGCCCACCGAGTGCTCCTCAATAGCCCTCATCATCAAATCCTCATCTGTGAATACGCTACTAAAGAACAGATTGAGAACGTCAGCCTTGCCCTCATCAAATGATATCTTCAGTGAAAATATCAAATCAGAGATATCATCGTTTGTTTTGCACTTAAAACAAGCGTACAAAAAAAAGCTTCCGGGTTCTGTTTGGCATTCTTGGCAATGTCTTTCTCAAATATTCACACTGTAGACTGTAGTGCGACAGCTTTCCTTAGCTTGATTTCGAGCTCTTGTGAATAAATTTTAATCAGCATCATCACCAAAAGTCTAAAAATAACGCTTGTAGGCTTCCTTCTTGGTTTCCAGCTTAGCTAGAACTATTCTCTTGATCCCCTTATTTTTTCGACTCCACTGAGCTTAATTTTAGGTACAAATGCATCAACTGCAGACATAACCGTGCCATTAGTGATTCTCAAACGCCATGACTCCGATCGTAACTAAAATGGCGACCGTTTCAATGGTGGAATGCATGATACGACACCTAGAATTTCTGGCTTCTGCGTTCTTTGTACAATTCAACCATTAGTATTTACGTATATCAATCGCTATTTAATATGTAAGGTATTATTATTATGTATAATAATCCTATTAATGAATTGAGTGCGTAAATAATACCCTCAACATAGTTTTGTTGGCGTGGCTTTTATTTTGTCTATGAAAATTGCGCTGCGTTCTTTATTTAATTTCTCCGCTTAGTCAGTTTCTCAGTGAATATGTATTGCAGTTATATGTGCTCTCGGCGGAGCTACGACTACGGCATCGCGGCACAACTTGGATTCGAAGCCGTGATGGAAGATACGAACGTCGTCCCTGGGGGCGACATGAACGAGACGTGTTCCAGTCTCGTCTTTCAAGACGGTATCGATAGCATCGTCACTGAGGTTTGCACGCAATCTCTGACATCTTGTTGTAGCGATGTTGTTGTATTTGTTGTTGTTATGCCCATCCTGTTAGTAGCGGCTAGGAAGAGGGGTAATAGGTCAGTTTTTCAGCTCACGAGTACAATAATTATTACATTACGCAAAACCCTGGACTAGCCAGACACTCGTTTATCAACGGCTGAGATAAATGGATGAACGGCTTTGACGGTCATGAGCTAAGCTTCACAAGAAACTTGTTCTAGTTTGACTTGAACTCATGGCGCTGAGTGCGAGAGACTAACTCTCCCAACACTGCAGCGCATAATTTCTGGCTTCACTGGAGCCCTTCAGTCCAGTGTTATTTAGAAGGTTTTTGTATATGATTAGTAGCATGTTGTTAACCCAAGTTAACCCGAGTAGCCGTAAAACGCTTTATAACAGACCTACCTTGTGGTACAGAAACTGTTTCTCGAGACGCTCACTTATGGTAGAAGTGACTACCACTGGTATGGTAGCATCGCCCTCACTGTTATGCACGTTCGTTGCTATTGTGTAACTCAGAACTCACGTGTGGTGCAGGAATTCCAGATAGGCATTTTTCGACCAAATTAGACAATTTTAGCATTTTATCAATTGTCGTGGCAGGTAAAAATCTATGTCGGCCGTTAATTCATTGTATTTTTTGAGGAATGAAAAGCCCGAAAATTTGTTGCGTTGTACTGCCAATCAAAAATCTACTAATGTGTATATTTGAACAGGTTTGGACCTGTATGTAAGTTGATAAGGGCGTTTTCTCTTGCCATCGTCTGACGACCTGGCTTGGTGTGCAGTGGTCTCTGGTGTGCGACCGTCTCGTGTGGTCGTCACACGCGGTTGCGGCTTCTCACGCCGGTCTCTGTTTAGGGTCTCTGCTCTTCGGCTACATTCTGGACCGGTAAGCTACTAAAACAAAATCATTGCAAAATATGATTGACCTAACCTATAGGGTAATGATGATAAAAATATGTATGTTAGACATCTAGAATTATAATTTTCGTGAGTGATGGTACCGACACAAATTTATAATGGTTAATCATTGCTAGTTTTTAGAGAAACTTTTGTAACTCTGTAACGTAATATTCTTTCACACGTTGACTACGATTGCTTCATCTTGTACAATTATTTAATTTTTTGTACTTTTTTTTAAGCAGGGTTGCCAGACGGTCATTTTTTCCGGACAAATTCCGTGATTTAGTTTTTCTCAATTGCGTTGGCAGGCTAAAATTTATGATAGGGGTATTTCCTAATTAAATTTTAAATATTCCAAAAAGAAAATAAATGGAATTTTTATAGCGGAACCTACAAATAAACTAGTATACATTGAATTATCGGCCTTTTTTGTTCTCGGATTTGGCCGATTTTAGGCAACCTGAATTATGTACCACTACCTCCTGGAGAAATACATTTCGTGGTACACATATGTACCAATACGTAGTCAACGTGTTAAGAAAGATGGGCGTGCATTTTAGATTAGAGTAAATTAGGTTGTGTTTATTAATAATATTCTATTCAAGTTGCCACCTTAAGTTGGTGTTTCGTCTACCCTTCCGGGCTAATGACCAAACTTCTCGATCACATGGTTCAGAGTGTACTACACACGTGCAGAGTGTACTACACATCAGAGTGTACTAACACATCAAAGTGTACTACATATGTGCAGAGTAGGTCGCCGCATCGGCTTGATGGTCGCCATCACGATGTTCGTGCCGTGTGGTCTGGCCGTGGCAGCGGCAGTTAACATCCACATGTACATCGTCTTCAGAATTCTCGTCACGATGTTCGGCATGGGGATGTACCTCGGCGGTTTCGTATTGTGTAAGATGTCAATTCATTTTCGTGCTTTAATCATAATGATTCATAAAGTAATAACGTATTTGAACTTCACGATTTCACTTTACTTGTGTCCATCGAAACACTCATTTTCTTTTACAGTAATGGGTTAGCGGCCTTGAAAGTTTTACAATGCAAATGACACATAAGAAACTCTTACTGCCGCAGTGATTTGCAATACCAAATACACAGGAAACCTTGTCCTGAATAGGCACGGAGGTGGCCATTAATAAGTATATGGGAACATTGTAATAAATTTTTTTCCCGGTGATCGCCCCCTGGCCGCGGACCTGCTGCAGCCATGGAGCTGTGCACCCCGAGGCAGCGCTCCCTCGTGAGCTCTTACTTCGTGGTGCCCTGGGCCGTGGGCTACATGGCCACCTCAGCCATCGCTTACACCGTCACCTCCTGGCGCTACCTACAGGTCGCTCTCACCGTCCCCGCCATCGCCCTGTATTGTAATTTGTGGTGAGGCTGACGTCCGGGCTGTAGTTGAAGCTGACGTTGGAGGTTACTATTGTTTCTTTGCGTAGTCTTTTGTCTGGGAAGGCAGCTTTACATCTTTGAGCAATTTCACATGTCAATATCTCTAACAACCTCACATTTTAAAAATCATCCCGCTTCCTATTTGAACCTTAGCATCAGGACAAGGGTTTACGTTCTTTTCACAATAAACCGAAACCTAACTGGCAAAGGAGGTTCCCTTCGTTAAGTATCAACCGTGATGTCATTAGTTATTAGAGCTTCGTTGCACTTACAAACTGTCATTCCCACCAACGCAATACAGCGTTACAACTGAAGCTACAAAGCCATTCTCAGTCGTCATAACTTTTGTAATACTTGGTTATAATTTGTTCGAGCGCAGGTTTTCGCTTCAGAACGAGATATTCGAGAGTAGTTCTGGGTTTGTAAGCGTTGGTCTTCGCCTTTCATACCATAACTGTGTTGTTCTTTGTCGGTGGGCTCATTTGTGAGTACAACCTTCTAACTTCTGACGTAATGCTGTAAAATAGAGCGTGGTTATTTTACTGTTGCTCAACTATTTGACTGCACGCACAATCATTTATGAGCATAACTTGTTTACTTAGTGTTCAGCCTTATTTTTACCGGTGAGGGTAAATCTTTGACTGTCATCTTAAACCTCGGACTGTGGGAGTGTCTTTTCGACAGTGTTCGTGACGTCGCTGATGGTACCAATTTAAGTCTAAGAAATAATTTGGAATTAGTTAGTTTTTTACCCCATCTTTTCTGTTCAGCTTGGTGCCTGAAAGTCCAAGATGGTTGATTCGCAAGGGGCGATATGAAGAAGCGTTGTCTATTTTGACGAAGATGGCGCTGAGGAACAAACGGAAGATGCCTTCCGACGACGACATGTCGGCCGCTCTGAGAAGAATCTGCCCTCGGGTCAGAGAATGGGAACGGCTAATTATATTTTGAAATTAATAAAGCGTGATGCGTTTCCTTTCTTTTTTGAAAGGCATCATCAGATCATGTTCCTTATGCCCTATTGAAAGGACTTTAAATATTTTCAGGTCGAACCACCAAAAAAAATTGTTGCAAATCTTTCACTCATAATCGTCTTGTCTAAACGATAGAATTGCAGAACTTTCTGAATTGTTCGTCGAGCTTAGAAGATTAAATACAGTGTATCCCAGTGGTGGAATTTACCTGGTTACGAATGAATGTAGTACTCTTTTTACCAAGATTGCCAAATTTTCAATACCGTAATACAGTGGTGTCAACTTTTATTAGACGGGGATCGAATCCAGACTCGTTGCTCCAATAATGTTGATCGTAACCACTCGGCCACCGTGACTTTAATTACCAAGTTCAAGGATTCCATTATTTATTTAAAGTTAAATAAATGAAGAATTTTCATGATGGTTCTGTTTTCCTCTCAGAAAGTCAATAACGTGCAGTGGTCAGCAGTGTCGTGGCTGCGTACATGGATTTATCCTCAGCTGCAGTGGAAGACTCCCGTAGTTTTCTTCTGCTGGTTCTCCGTGTCCATGGTTTACTACGGCCTGTCGCAGGGTTCCGCTAATTTGGGGTACGAAATTTTGTAACGGGATGGTTAACGCGGAGTTCTAACTCTTTACTAATTCTTGAGACGAGCCCTAAATTTTAATCTCTTCAATATTTGATGGTTAATTTATGTCACAGTTAGTTCTTTTACCTAAACGGAGTATATTACCGAGTCAAGGAAGTTCGAGTTCGTATGATGATAGGTCAGGGGATTCCTCTTGGAAATCATTGGTATCGGAGTTCATGTTTGACTTGAGTTGAGTATTCTAGCAATTTGAGTTTCAAAGTTCATGTTTAGTTGTCTCATCAAATGAGTCAATTAACTCATTTGATGACACATGCGTGCCGCGAACATAACGCGGGAGTTTGTCGACATTCGCGTGTCGTGAACATAACCCTGGTATTATTGTTCCTTATCGTCTTGTCCACACAGAGTGAACGAATACCAGTTCATCTTCGTGGGAGGGGCGCTGGAAGTGGCGGCGTACCTCGTCATCTACCCTGGCGTGACGATGCTGGGGCGCCGCGTCTTCCTGGCGCTCACTTACGCCGTCGCCGCCGTCAGTATCGGCGGCGTCATGGGCATGATGATGACGGGCTTTGATGGTAGGTACTGGTGCTGTTCGGTGGTTGATGGATTGCTAATGATGTAAGACGATATTTGGTGGATTGTGATAGTAATTTGTAGGTATTTACTGCCTCGTATGTTGCACTGTTTGGGCTAAGGTTGAGGTCGGGTTCACGCCACACTGCCGGGCGCGAGCCCTTGGACATTGGACACCTTGGGACACACACCTTGGGCCCAGCAGTGTGGCCCAAGGCATTGGACTGGACCAGTCACGGTCCAGAAAGCTTCTATAAAAATGCATTAAAAATATTGGGCTTGACCGTGACAGGCATATTCCTGGCAATATCTTGTGAATCCCGACTTTATGGTGCCAAATATCGCACTGCTCGGAATTACCCATTTCGGTAATGCGCTTTTCGACATTGCACTGTTCGGTATTATGCTGTTCAATATAACGCATTTCGTCAACAGGTGGCAACGGAGGCCTGCTGTTCCTCTCGTACTCAGGGAAGTTCATGATCACGGCAGCGTTCCATGTGCTCTACGTCATCACCGGCGAGCTCTTCCCTACCGAACTGCGCTCCCTCATCATCGGGGAGGCCAGCGTCTGCGCCAGGATCGGCAGCATCATGTCGCCCTACATCAACATACTAGTGGTGAGTGCATCATGTCGCCCTACATCAACATCCTCGTGGTGAGTGCATCATGTCGCCCTACATCAACATCCTCGTGGTGAGTGCATCATGTCGCCCTACATCAACATCCTCGTGGTGAGTGCATCATGTAGCCCTACATCAACATTCTCGTAGTCAGTGCATCATGTCGCCCTACATCAACATCCTCGTGGTGAGTGCATCATGTTGCCCTAAATCAACATCCTCGTGATGGTTGTTCTAGGTTGTTGCTACTCCGTCGTTTGCATAGCCACCACATCGTTGTGCCAGTCAACATCAGGCTTCCGCGTATACGTTCATACGTTATATTATCCTGTAAAATTGTAGCCATAAATTGATATCAGTGCGTTTATTTATCATTTGAGTGTTATTTCAAAGAATAAATTATCATGTGCGGCCAGGGTGGTTCTTGCCAGATTCGTGGACCTTTCTGGTCAGCACATTACTGAGAGAGCGTTTACCCTTTTAAAGTTTCCCGACAAAATGCTTCAATTTAGAGGTTCGCCGCAATAAATGGCGAGGAAAAAGATACAAGTTTTTCAATTAATTGCAGGGCTCGGAAGTAAGATGGGCACCGGCGGCATTTTTTGGCTCGTTTTCGATCGCGTCTGCTATCTTGGCCGCGTTCTTGCCTGAGACGCGAGGACTCGCGTTGGACGAAGAACTTAAAGCAACGAAGAATCAAGAAGCAAGAACCCCAGGCACCGGCAGTCAAGGCGACGAAGAACTCAAGACAAAGAAACAAGAAGAAGGAACCTTAGGTGCTGGCTATCAGGGCGGCAAGAACAACCCTTATTTTAGTGCTACTGATGACACTCTTGCAAGTCAGTTCTGAACAAACCCTTTAAAAAGTTTTTAATAGATTCAAGTAGATATTAGTTTATATATAAGTTATCAATCTCAAGATAATATTTTATGGTATTTTTGACTCCAAAATGGTTTATCTAGATAACAATAGCGAACTATCGGTGAACCCGTATTACATTCTAATAGAAGGGAAAATTAAAGTAATGTGCTTCACTTCGCAATGATTTGGTAATAAAGTAAACATCACAAAGATTGGAGCAGTAAGTTGGAGATTCGACACGCGCAGCTAGTTGTGAAAATTCAGGTCGAAATCGGCTGGTTGATGAAAATATGCCTGATATGAACGACGCCAACACCACTATTATCATTATATTATTATCTAATGCGCACTGTGGCGCAAGAAATAACCTCATATTATGTATTGTCTTCGTTGGATTAGAAAATGATATCTGTACTCTTTTCACGAGCCTACGTACTTCTCAATTGCAATGATTTATTGTAATTGTTGAAAATGATCATTTGCTTTACTGGCCATAGTGATGCCAACAAGGGCTCTGTAGAAGAAGAAAACACGAGAAGGCATTCAATTTAATACGTTCTTGCTAGGGGACTGGAGGAAGGAAAATATCACAGTCTATGGCAAATGATTTGACACTCTCAAGATATAACAAGCAAATTGTTCATCACTTGGATATCAAGCAGTTTTAACCTGTCGATTATGCGAACAGATGAGAAACTTTCACTACACTAAGAACTTATTTCTAAACCTGATAACTTCCAGAAACGGTCACCAAGATAACTATGTATTTTCCATTCAGGACTACTAAACAGTCAGCGAACGGTATGGAACTTCATAACGAAGATACTACAACGATAATTAAGTCAAGTCGAGAGACTACAACGATAATGAGAAAGAAAATACAAAAAAGAGAATTAAAAAAAAATTCAGGTCCATGAGCAAACGCGTCAATTCAAGAACTTTTTTTCTTGGAATGTTTACGTCCACAAACTGAGACGTAGGCAGTTCTATGCAGGTTATAATGTATATAGTTTATATAGATGAACCAGGAAGCATGGTAGGTAACCGCAGTTTATAATGGACTAATAGCCTGCCAGCGTGGCATCCATTAAGCAAACTCGCACCGTAAGTAGAATAAATGACACTAATGAGTTGGAAGGTCTAAATTATTCCAAATCAAAGCTCGTTAATCACCCACACGAGGCGAAAGATCGTTTGTGGCCAGGCCAGTGAAGAACGAAGGAGCAAGACAGAAGTCGCGTTAGCATTTCAAATAATAAGAATGGAAAGTAGCAATAGAAAATAAGACGCTCCTAGAGATGAAGATGAAGACAGAGAAAGGAAATGTAAGAAATCCTGCCTAAATGCAGCTTGTTCCTACAACCGAGATCCGGTGCCAGACATCGAGAGCTAGTAGAACGAAGCCATAACAGAGATAGTAGACATAATCAAACACGACATTTGATATAAAATATGCTTATTAGCAACCGGAATCTATAACAATGGAATGAAAGTATAACATCAACAGGATAGCAACTCTTAAGACCGATTATCTTATGTACAATGATCTAAACGACACAAATTATTGCACTAGATAACATTATTGCGAGTATAACAAGTTTCCTTATCGATTCTAAATTGAATGTTTGAATTTAATGACTAAGTTCTCTCAACACAGTTTATCTTTAGTAGATAAGAAAACTTGCAGCGCAATTTCTTTTACTTTAATATTTTATGGACATAAGATTTTCTGCGCACTGGTCCGGTTTCTTTCAGTGAATTTCGGATCTTGTAAAATGATACTCATGAGCGTATGAGCGTAAGCTATTTGTTCGTATCACAGTCTTCATTATAAGTAAAATTAATACATGCAGTCTAGCCACACAATTTTCAATTCATACAAGCGCAATGTCCTAGAATTACAGAATGAGAGGACTCTGGATTATTAAAATCATACGGATTATAAAAAAATTGATTTATAAAAAATACAACAGTCCAATGGTTTTCACTTATTGTTGTCACTAATTAGTTGATAAATCCTTTAGATTAGAAAATTTTATGATTTAAAAGTTTTTAATCGTCTTAAGAAACAGCCTCTCAGGGGTTCAGAACTCATTATGGAAGCTGCCAGCGACGTCAACCATCTTGCTGCTGACGAAGAGGCTGGAGTGCGTCAGGAGCTCAGGCAGCGAGAGGCTGCCGTCAGCGTCGGTGTCAGCAGCAGCGAAGAGGCGGTCCGCCTCCAGGCGGGAGTGGTGGGGGTGGCGAGGGTCGCGGTACAGCTGGGGGGGGGGGAGGCTAAAGATTTAGGCGGCAACTTATTGGCTATAGCGTTGGTTTATAGGCTTTAAGCGTTAGTTTATTGGATGTAGCGTCAGTTTATTATATATAAAGTCACGTTATTCACTATAGCGTCAGCTCATTATATATAACATCAGTTTGTTGACTATAGCACCGGTCTGTTGACTATACCGTCAGCATGTTGAACATAGCGTTAGTTTATTATATACCTAACTTTAGTTTGTCGATCATCGCGCAAGTTGTTGACTAAAGAGTCAGTTTAATCACAGGGATGGAAAAAATTGACGTACAATATAAATAAAAATATTCAACAGTTTAAATGTCAATTAAAGTCATAATGTAACTTGAAGGAAGAAATCCACGCTAAGACGATCATGTACGTCGTAAATCTTATGGCAATAAAGAGATTTAATGTGATATATAAAAAACTCTAAAAAACACAGCATTCATGATAACGGGAGCGATAAGATACCACAAGTTCCCTGCGCTCGATCTTGCCGTCGGCGTTCTGGTCGACCTCGAGGAAGCGCTCCTGCAGGCACTGCGTCAGTTGCGCGCCCTGGTTGCTCTGGCAATATTCCTCCTTCGTGAGGGCCCCGTCACCGTTAGTGTCTGCACACACCGATACCATTCATTAATCATGCTGGCAATTATAATATTCATTTCATTTGAACGTATCAAATCATTTTCACCCATCAGACATTTGTACCCGATTATTGATAAGTTACTGAATCTTGCATATCATAACCACGCGTTTATACTAGCCTAATTTCTGAAGAACTAACCAAGGAAATAGAGAAGCTCTTCCACCTTAGCAAGGATGGCACCATGGGAGCTCTCGGGGTGGTGGAAGGCCAGAAACTCGTCCAGAGTGAGCGTGTCGGGGTCACTGCGAGCCGCTTCTGACCACGCAGCTTTGTCGCGCATGATGCTCTCTGCTCAGAGCGGGACGAGGATAATGTAGCCTCTGCTTAGACCAGCCGTTACAGTCTCTGCTCAAAGGCCGTTGCAGTTTCTGCTAAGACCAGCCGTTACAGTCTCTACTCAAACCAGCCGTTACAGTCTCTGCTCAAAGGCCATCGTAGTTTCTGCTCTAACCGGCAGTCGCATCTACCAATCACCTTTAGGCACTACTAACGTAACTAGGCCTATAAATACGATTAACGATGATGAAAGATGATGTATCTGTAGAAGAAAATTAACTTAATGTCCTGTTGGTTATTCTTGTTAATTACCTACTTTTTCCTCCCGCTTGAAAGTATATTCAGCTATTTACAGATGTATTTAATACTAGGTACATGTAATTAATATGTAACTTTGGAACCTTTTTCTTCCCGCTTGAGGTCATTCAGGCTATTGATAAATTCATTTTATACAAAATGCAAGTAATATGTAGCTTTGAAACCTTTTTCTTCTCGCTTGAGGTCTTTCAGGCTATTGATAGATTCATTTTATACAAAATGCAAGTATTATGTAGCTTTGAAACCTTTTTCCTCCCGCTTGAGGTCTTTCAGGTTGTCAAGATGAGCAGCAATAAAGTCAGCATCATAGCCGCGCTTGCGCAAGAAATGTGTGAGGTGCTCTTGCCATGATACTTCACCTGTAATTGAACAATAAATTTCAACTAATTGCAAGACAAGAAAACAGCTAATAAAATAATCTAAAGATTCTAACCATGATGGAAGATTATTTAGTCTAACCATTCTAACCATTGTGTGAATATGAAATCAAACAGGTATTGAAAACATGATACGGTTTAACAAATATTCATCAATACATAGATTAATTAATGACTGTAGATATTTAATTGATAAAACTCAATTTTTAATGTGGATTTCGCTGAATAATTATTTGTAGATAATCTTATTTCAAACCATACTTCAAGCTTTATTAGCAGTAAACCTATTATTATGAGATATACAAATTTACCAAAAACATGCTTATTGTGCAATCTATTTTTACTTTTAGGAAGAACTACTATCTTTATAATGAAAACAATGGCAAAAATTCTAAAATTCTGAATTCTTAATACATGAATCACTTTCCATTGCGAGGGTCTACATCAAGTGCAGTGAATATAAAGAAGTTTTCTCTGATGGCCTGTGTGAGGTGCAGCGTAACTTGCTGCTGAACACAAGCCTCAGTCTCTGATCGGGATAAGCCAAGGGAGCCATCCGTGTCACATCTGTATATGAGAGCTTCATAAGTACTTTTACGGTAGGTATATTTTGTCTTCATAACTCAAAAGAATCTACAAAGAATCTCTATGGAAAGAGAATGCCAAGTAAAGATGTAATGAATTTATTGTTAAAAAATTCTTCTTACTATTGAGGCTAATTAATAAATGTTCGTGAAGATACTGAAAATAATCAGCTAATGTTATAATTGTATCAAGTAAGTAAATGTATGTGAAAATATTGGCATGATTAGAATTTACGTATTAATGTTGGAACTAGCAAAATTTCAAAAAGTGTAAGAAACAAAAGGCTAATAGGTATTATCCATACCTTTTGAATGCTTGGGACAAAATTTCTTTTGGACCCAGGATTTGTTTAGAATTTCTGATTTCTGCCCTTTCTGCAGCAGCTTGCGCAATTTTAAGCACTTCCTCATGGATTGCGGCGGCAGCTCGAGGAGTCCTCTCCGCTGAATGCATTGCAGACACTGAAGCAGAAACATGCAGAAGTCAAGTTTTGGAGATGAATATTGTCTGGAAAAGTATTAGTGCATAAAAACTGAACTAGATATAATATCAAGATTTAAATTTATAAAGAATTATTAATGCATATGAATCCAAGAAAAAAGAAAGGTTGCACCAAACTTGATGTGAAACAGAAATGTAGTGTGTATGGTTTATAGGCTTATATACCTACATGTAAAAAAAAAGTTTCCATTTGCATGCTTTTTTCACTACTATTTAGAATGCCCATAACTATCTCAAGTGTTTTATAGATGAATGCAAATGAAGAAAAAGAGCTAACTCACCTTGCTTGGATCTCAGAGGAACATGTAAGATGAGGCACATCAGAAGACCTGCTACTGCACAGCTCCCCAGAAGAAAGAAGATTTGTTCTGTGCGGATTCTTCTTAGAGTGCGTCTCATATTTCTGACTATAGGCTGTTAAATATCTTTGAACCATCAAATATTATGAAAAATATTTCTGATATACCCTAGGTATATCAGTATTAGTCAGGTACAGATTAGCTAAGAAATAAATACCCATTATACTGAACTTCTATAAAAAAGGATGACATTCAATTTAAAATATATGAAGCATGAATCAAAATTGCCATAAATAGGTATGATAAGAATATTTTTATCTATGCAAAATTGCTAATCAACATTTACTATAATTTATTTTTACTAAATTTATAAATTTTATAATTATCCATTTGCACCATAAATTCAAAAGAAAACACCTTAACAATATTCACAGTTTAAAATTTATGTTGACAAAATTATTTTAATAAGCTTGACAGCTTCTAGGACGCAAAAATAGAAACTCAGATTTTTTTCAAATTTACTTTTTGGAAAATGTATAAGTTCATAAAATTCTAATGTGATAACTTCAACACCAGATAAATTTATTTTAATAGGATGATAGGAATAGGTCATGTGACATATCAAGTTCTGCATCATTGCATGGAATATATCTACCTTTCAAGCCATGACCAGAGCTTTCCTGACATTTTTGGAGCCACATGACTTCTGTTAGATGAATTAGTAGTACCTCTCATCTAAATGATACCTGACCAAAATCCACATAAGATATCAAAAGGACAGTAAGATATTAAACAATCAAAATTTGTCACTATGGAGCTTCAAGATTTATAAGTAGGAAAATTCTAATTCTGGGTTCAACAAAACACATTTTCAAAATATTTGGACGTAGTCTCTAAATAATAAAATTACCTGTATGAAATATTAAATAAGAGCCCATTCATCAAGCAGGAATCTTGTGGCTCCAAAATAATGACAGGAAAGCTCTAATTACAGTTTAGAAAGTACCGTAGTTATATTATTGTATATAAATGCCACTCTGGCACTCCTATTATAATCCTATAGCTAAATATTGAATATCAGAAAAAAATCATTTTTTTTTTTAAAAGAGGTACTGGTAATTCCCTAAGTCCTTTTACCAATGATGTAACAGACTGTGAACTGGGTGATCAGTTTCAAATATTCTTGAAACAGAACAGATGGAACATTTTGTGTACAATTAAGAAAAATATAGGGTAAACATCATATCACATAACAGTTAGTAAAAAAAATGAAAACATTTTATAGGTACTACTTTAAAATTATTCTGTTATCTGTAATTATAAGGTATTTGCATTGCTCATGTATGTAAATAGACTAATCAAGTTAAATCAACTACCCTCAATGCCACATAAGTTGTCACTTTTGGAAAACCTACTAGAATATATTGAATTTTGAAACACCAAGCAGCTAAAAGTTAACATGTTGACTCCGAAGTGGTACATATGCGTACCACAAAATGTATTTTTCCAGGACGTAGTGGTACATAATTCAGGTTGCCTAAAATTGGCCAAATCCAAGAACAAAAAAGGCCAATAACTCAAATATATACCTACTAGTTTATTTGTAGGTTCTACTTTAAAAATTCCATTTATTTTCTTTTTGCAGTACCATATTTAAATTTAATTAGGAAGTACCCCTATAATAAAGTTCAGCCAGCCAACGCAATTGAAAAAAGTAAATCACGGAATTTATCCAGAAAAAATGACCGTCTGGCAACTCTGTTTAAAAACAGTATACAAAAAATGAAATAATGGTACAAGATGAAGCTATCGTAGTCAACCTGCTAAATGTAACACATGTACAGGGTTGACTCATGTTTAGACTGTATAGAAAAAAAGGCACTAAGATTTTTTTATTGCTCGATCATATAATAAAATGGAAGTATTTGAGACTTATCGGAAGTGGCTAGGTATATAGTACCTGCTTTAAAGTCACCAGCAATATTGACTAGGATAGATTATAGTTACCTGCAAGATAATTATAAAATAAATTTCTATATAATTAAAATCAAGATTACAAGAAAAACAAACCTTATTTTACTGCATTTCACCTTGGTATGACCCAAGATTGAAGGGAAAATATTTTCAGGGCAATAAAGTATCGCAGAAACGCAGCTCATACAGCAGAATGAAAAAATTTGTTTCACTCAACGAATTTTTGTCATGTTGATTTGAAATCTCAAAACTAATTACAAATTAATTGTTGGAAATGCATCTTACCATCTTTAAGCAATATTAATAAAAGTTATAGTACGTAGCTATTTTCCTATAATCCCATGATAACAAAATGTTTGTATTGGGTCGATTTGATAAATATTTGGTTTTCACCAGCAACGTGGTGACTTTAGTGGCATTGACAGTGAAGAAAGGTAAAATGTACCATCAAACGGGGTAAAAAGGGACGGTTTTGAGCGTTTTTTGTTAATAACTTCTTACCATGAAACATTTCATAAACATGTTTGGGCTCATTTTAAAGCTCTTTGCAAGGGCTATTGTATGGCATCTCCAAAAAAATTCCATATGCTATTTGTAAGGTGCTAGATGCAATATAAAAGGCTCCTGAATTAATCTGGAAATGGGGTAAAAAGGGACACTTGAAATAAAATTCAATTTTAAACATTTGAAGCATGCATGCCATGCAGAGTGTTCTCGTCTTTTACTAACAGTACTCTGAAGTCCTCCTCTTCCTTTGTAGATGATGTAAATGTAGAATAAATGAAATTTTCTGTGATTTTTACTTGGTTTTTCTTCATTGATATAATATTACCTTATCCATACATACATTGCTGTATTATTAATGTGATATTACTGTATCCATGGACTGATGGACATGCCATTGAGCATTGACAACAACCTTGTCCACTGCAAGCTTCATATCAGCAGCCATGCAGCATTTCTTCTGTATCTGTAAGCTTGCAGGATGGTTTGTAATTTTGCACAATTTCAATCAAGTCAAGTGACTTTGCTATAACAAAAAAGATTGTAAAAAACATACCTGAAACAGGAAAGAATAGTATTTCAGTGACAAGACAACCACCATATTTTTTGGAGAAATAAAGCATAGTTTAAGTTAATCCAGGGCGCAGAGGGTGGATGCAGCATCGCCAATATATGGGTTTTTAAGCCCTAAGCGTCGCCGGGTAATTTTAAGATGCGTCACCAGGTAAATTTAATGAAAAGCCATTTACGCTGAGTAATGAAAAACTATTTACAAGCCACAAACTTATTTACAAGGTTGCATGCACGTGTTATCCCAAATAACTAATTTTACCCTAAAAACAGTCCAATTGTACAGCAGGTGTCAACTGAACATGTGATAATGCAGTCTGACCCCTCTAATGTGACCACAACTATGTAATTGTAAGCTTGATGTTTACATTTTTTTGTCGGGAACTCATCGCAACTGATTTTCGGACAAGCTTCACTGCATCCTGATCCATCCAACATATCGGAAACCTTACTTTTTTTTTAAATAGTTGGCTGAAGACTGACAAATATATTAAATGCAAGAATTTCAATCTAAATGTGTCGGCAAGATCTTCAGAAGGCGTAAATTTTGCTACTGAAGCGTAGCCAAAGATCTTGCAATATTCATCCACTCTCTGCACAGTGGAGGTTAATTACTTTTCATTCTTTGTTGCCCCTTGCTCAATTCTATCTGTGACATTCTATGCACAATTTTGTGATGACTGATACAACGGATACTGTAGTGATACAGTAATTTTTTATTGAGTGAAATTATTTTCATTGAGCAAGGTAAATGTAATCAAAATTCTTTGTTGTTAATTGATTTTTTCATTAACTGGAGCCTTTGCTAACCAAGGTTCTACTGTAAATGCAATTTTAGAGGTGTCCCTTGACCCTTAATCCTTATTACCCCAGGGGGGGGTGTCCCTTATTAGGTACCCTGTCTTGGGGAGATGGCCACCATTTTTTTTGGAATGAGATAGCTAGATACCGTATGCAAATTCTGTCAATCAAGTTTTTAAGCCAACACTAGTGTGCAACTTTTATGCGAGTAAAATTTTTCAATACGACAAATATTTTTTCTGCTACAGACCTTAGCAGAGGTAGGGTAAACGCGGTATATTCCGACACATTAAGGACGCATCGAGAAATGAAAAACTATAAAAAATAACCGTATGCGTTACTCGAGTTCTGTTTGCTTTATGTGACTCGCAAAACACCGTACTACGCGCCAGCAACAATGAAACGTCACAAAATGTTGCCATATTTATTTAAAAGCCTTTAGAATGCAAACCTACCAAATCCCTATATTCCAACACTGTGTGTGGCAATATTCGGCATGTGGTGAGGTGTATTCAGTCCGCGCTTCAAATTCTACTGATACGTAATGCCATCATCCACGTGTTCGAATTCGGTTCGCTGTGTGAGCTGTATTGGAATACAACACGGCTTTGAATTAGAACACTAATGAATATTTAACACTACTTAATTACGCTTTTAATTAACAACTATTAAGCTTTTAATTAAGCAAATTTTAATTTTTGTACATAGCTTGGAACAATCTGTGTGTGTCCAATTCAAGTTGTGACGGAATTTGTTTTCATGTGTCTAAATCCATTTCTCAACTTAATCATCTATTAATTTATTTACCACTTGAAATCAGCAAATACAAGTATACTTAAAGGGTTCCTAATATATTCACAGACGTATTTAAAAGTCTCAAACCATAATATTCTTCCTATACAAACAGTTATTCACTATTTGGTAGAGCAAGGTCAACTGTCATATTTGACACATTTTTCGATGATCTCACTGGGTAGCGTGCATTGTCTCTCTTTGGATCTCAATATTTATTTGCTACCTAGATGCCATGGTCAGGAAGATCTGCCAGGTGCACGGGAATTTATTTTGTCATTTTAACAACCTGCGCGGTGCGCCGTAGTATGCTGGTAAAAAAATGCGCTGTGCGCCGTACTTTAGAAAGCTAAAATAGTTTAAATATGGACGCGCGGCAACACAAATTACGCAATCGCACTGACCGTACACACAAACGTGTAGGTATCTGCATTGTGTTGTGATTGGATACGAGTTAACTAGATTGCTAACGTGTCAACTCAGGTTCTATAAAGGCCCGTTTACACTAGTGGCAACGACATGCGCTTTGAGTCGTTTGCTGCAGTGCCTCACCGCGCACAACCGTTCACACTACTTTTGTACACGGTAGTTCGAGAC